AAGCTGTCGCTCACGCTGTCGCGCGACCGGTCTATACGCGCTCTCATTGGTCAGTGTTTTTCATTAATAATTCAAAAACTAAGCTTTAACCAGCATTTTGGTAAAGGAAAAAGTTGTTCAGAATCACTCCAGCTACCACCCCCTAAAATTATGCCCACCAGTAGCCGAACACCCTGTATACAAATCAAATTTGGTGGTTGGGCAATTTCATAGTAGCTAGGAGTTGTAAAAGAGAAATCTGAAAAGAACTTTAGGAAACATCTGCCGAGAATTACTGTAAATCTTCATTTTCTACAATTATCAAACTCGTAATTATTTTACAAAAATTCAGACATGTATTTAGATACACACGCGACTAACGGAGGATTAAAAGTAACGACATTGTCACAATACTATGCAATTAATTAAATCTATTTTACACTACGAAAATTTAATCTGATCTCCGTAGTATGACTTTCAGATGAATGATATTGAAATATATACAGGGGGTCTCTAAAGTCCGATCCCATCCTTATATTTCGAAAACGGTTTTAAATATGAAAAAATGTTTCAGACAAAAGTTCTAGGATATCAAGGGGGGCATAAGATGGCAGAAACACTTCGATCTTAAATAGAACCCCTATTTTTTATTGCATATTCTTGTGAACTTGGCGAGAAAGAAGGCGTGCCTTTTTAAGGCACTCTCTATATTTGTTTGTTGTGTAAGTTATTTCCAAAATATGAAGCTTCAAAGTTGACACATAAGAGACATAAATACAATCGTGCAACCCTCGCGCAGTACAGCTTGAATGATGTGAATATGTTACGGTGAGAGACCGAAATTGGAGAATGTCGACATTCACCGGTGAATGTCGACATATACCAAATACGTCGGTGAAAGACCGAATATTTTATTACATTCTTGTACATTCGGACCTTCACCGGTGTATGTCGACAATCACAGATATGCTCTGGTGGAGGTCTAAAAGAGAGGAGCCGAAAAAGAAGCGACTGGCTCTCCTCCCGCCAAATCCTGTGTTCTGCGGGGAGTAAATCGTGATCTTTTTCTTGAAAAGTTAAATGCATTAATTGTGGATAAACGAGAAGACAATTGTTTTATTTTTCTCAAGAAAAGTATTCTAAAATACTTTCTGAAGTGGTTTTTGCTAAAACTAATTGTAAGTGCAACACACCTTTGGATAACAGACGATTAAAACGTTTTGACATTTTAAAAATTAATGATGAAAGGAAATTAATTGTACCATTAAAATCAGGGGAAACGAATATACAGTATTATGTTACCAATGAAAAATTGTTCAGTATACTATATGAAACTCACGCCAGAATAGGCCACGGAGGAAGAACACGTATGCTTAGAATGTACTATGTGTTTTAAATTCTTGGTCTCTCTTCTCAGAAAGAGAAGCGAAAAAGTTACGTCACACTTGTGACGTTTTACAGCGACTGAATACGTAAAATACTTTCTGAAGTGGTTAGGTTAAATCTCCGACGTGTTCAACATTCACCATTAGTGCATGGTGAATGTCGACATTTATCGGTGTAAGTCAGAAATAAGGGTATTTAGTAAATATTTAGGACATACACCAAGCGACTATGTGAATGTCGACATTCACCAGATTTCGGTCTTTCACGGTAACAAATACATACAATGTATCAACGTTGAAGCTTCATATCTTGGGAATGACTTGGGTATAAATAGGTAATGTTGGGTATAAATAGGTAAACAAAGGAGGAGATCCTATTTAAAAAATTGAAGATAATGTTCACGTGACATTCAGATGACAATTCAAGTTTAATTTGTTGCCACAAGTTAAGTATATTTGACGACAATATCCGTCATGGAGATGTGGCAGAATTTTGTGTCATGACGACTACATCCGTCATGCGTAAAATTTTGTTACAATTTTGATATTTAAATTGAAATTTTGGCGAAAACTAAAATTATATTTGTAAATTTGAAAACTATATTTGTAAATTGTAATATGTTTAAAATGTTTAGAAGTCAACACGAAATGAAATAAACAAATAAAAAGTGTAAATGATTTAAGATGGATTCATAAATTCTTAAGAGCTAACTCGTCATCGCTTGATTATCGCGACACACACTGGTGGGCGCTTTAAAAAAAGATCGCCATAGTTAGCTGGTTAAAGTTGTTCTCGAAATATAAAAGGTGGGATCGGACTTTAGAGATACCTTGCATAACAGGTACAAATTTTAAAGATTTGCTACCAAACACAGTGGTTGTCCCATGTCGTTTAATTCTCGCAACTATGATTTAATTTTCAGTAATTTAAACCTCTAAACACAATAGAAGATAAATGTTGGACGTTATATTCTCTTGTAAAATAATGGAAAGTACGGTATTATTATCAATGATAATATAGTTTTACCCTAAACTTGTTAATGAAACTATACTTTAATTTGCACTAAAAATTGTACTAATTACGGTTACGCTAGTTGCATAAATCGTATTGGAAATTATGTTAATTCAGCTCATTAATATTGATATATTCAGAAATAGCATCATTAAACGCTTGTTAGCTGACCTTCTTTCATTCTTAACTATGATACATATTCGTATTGATATGCATCATGAATGTTTTATATGTTATATTTTATATTAGGTTACATTGCATTTCTTATTCATCGTTTTGTTTATTTAAATTTTAACTTGTGTCTTATCTGTTCTATATGATTGTAAAACTATAAATGATAAATCTTTTTCCCTACATTATACATGTATCATTACATAAAGGAGCTGAACCAGTATATAAATAAGGTAAAATAAGAATAACTGGTGAAGACTTACAGAAATTTTTAGCCTAACATCATTTCTCGCTGCAAATACTGATAGATTTCATTGGTAGTTTCAAATTACGAATATTAACGATATTGAATCATAGCACAGAATTATCGGTACATTTAATGAAAATGCTAAATTATCATTTGCAGTTAGCATTTTAATATTTAATTCAAATTAAATATACACTTATTCAGTGATCAGAGAAATAAAAATTTCTTAATCTAACATTTTAAAACAATATTTTCATTTTTATGAGTTTATTACATATAAAGTCCTCAAAATATATAAGTATCATCATTTTATTCCTGAATATTCCGACTTCCTAAGAAAAAAAATAAAAACGAGATTCTATATATCTTCTGCCTTTTTCTCTATTTGTTTGAACTTTAATTTCCTTTCTCTCTTTAATATAAAAAAAATCTGTAATAGATACGTACTTAAAAAAGAATCAAAATGGGGTCGAAACATCACTGAGAATAATAAATGGTAAGTTCTTACGACTGTGTTTGATTTCGACCAAAACACATTGATTCTTTCCAGATCTTCTCAAGTAAAGCTAAAAGCCAAAACACATTGATTCCGTTTCCATATCTTCTCAATTAAAGCTAAAAACAATTCCACTTCTAAACAAAAGGAAAGGGAGCAAAGATTTTTCATTTTATTTTCAATTATTCGCGATACTTTGCTCTCTTATCCTTTCTGAACATTTATTAAGTGTCATATTTACCAGACGAGTAGTCTTCCACATAAATGATGCTCCTCACTTTGGCGATACGAAGGCAATGAATCAAAGATTGCTGCCGTAAATTCGTGTTAATTAGAGCAGTGACAACGCCGAGTTTACCAAGACCAAGCCAAATAGCGACGTATTCCGGTCTGTTCGGCATCATTAACGCCACAGCATCTCCTTTTACGTAATTCGCTTTTTGAAACACCCAGGCTATTTGGTTGCTGTATTTGTTAATCTGCAAGTTGTAATTTTTACCCATTATTTTTTGATATATTCCTTATCTATGAACAGAAACATGACCCGTACTGTTCTTTCAATCGGCTTGTAATAATTTCCATTCGTTCATAAATCAGACACTAGCATGAAACTTGATAAATTTTGTACATAGCATTATTCTTGATAAATTTTGTACGTGCTTTTGAAACATATTTCGATGTTCAATGATAACATGAATTTTTGTTTAGTATGTATACGTAAATCGCATTTTTTACTTTCAGAATCGTGAAAGTTTGTAAAAATACTCTTGATTTTTTCTAACTTAAAAGTTTTTGATTTTGAAAATATTAAAAAAATAATTGAAAAATAGTTTCATACTTATGCAAGACAAAAAATTTTTGAATTTTTGAAGATGGAGTTCGAAAGAAAATATAAACATCTATTATTTAATAATTACTAAATTATATGTTTATGTACGATATACATATATAATAATTATTATAATTCATGTACAATAATTATCATTAATTATTGTATACAGGGTGTTTCAGTAATCATAGTATAAGCAGGAATAACATTATTCTATATAAGAAATAAATCGAAAATATTAAATTAAATATTTTATATGAGATATTTGTTTTTGAGAAAAATCAATTAAAAAGTTCTTCATATTACTTATGAGAAGATCTGATTATTAGTTACGTTAATTTAACAATTATTGAGTGTTATAAATCAACTGGAAAACTAAAGTACATTATCAGTGATAATTCTACCACGTTATCTTTAATACATTACTAAGGTATATCGAAATGAATTTAGACGGAAATAAAACAAGTATGCACATAAATAAAAATATTATAAATGATATTAATTAATAATACATTTCAACATTAACATTTACTCATATATTCTTTTTAGAAATCAACATTTACTAAATTAAACTGAATTCTACATTTTCGATTTATTGTTTTACAAAGAATCGAAAGTTTTTTGGTTATGCTATGATGTTATATAATCAGTTATACGTATGCATAAATATATCAATTTATATATAAATAATTCATATATCTATATATGTATGTATACATACAATAAGCTTTTATGGTGTATACAAATATAAAATATTTTAGTAAATTATTTTTTATAGATATACATACATAAACATTTTGAAAATTTGCGTTTATTTATTAATAAATACTTTTAAAAATAATTATTTCACGAATATAAAAGAACCGTAACGATTTTTGCTATTAGAAAATTTCAAACAAATGGAAGTTACTGTCTGCCGAATTGCATATAACAGTAAAATGAATTAAAATAAATTAAGAAAGATTAATATCTAATACAAAGATTGATTACTATTTGATTAAAATTGTAATCATTTTACACTCTGATTGTCCATATTTAAGTAACATCACCTTGATAAGATCCTATCACTCTTTTATCAAAGTATTTTTCATATTTACATAATTCCATGTGTTCTGAAATATAACTAACATATAAATAAACGACCTAAACACAAGTTAATCCGTGATACTTTTTATTTGTTCCATTAGAAAGTTGGCAAACTCAATTTATTAAAAATACTTTTACCACTAGCACTGCCAAATTCAATGTGCACTTAATTTCAAATTAAAAATAGGTAATCAATCAACCATAAACGAATGTATACAGCCATTCTTTATTTCAACAAAGAACCATAAAGATTTCGACAAAAACTCTGTACCAAAATTTTGTAATTAAAAACATTAAACCTTATATCAATCATTTTACCGGTTGGTAGTTCTAGTGTTAATAGATAACGCGATTATAAATTATTTATTTGTCCAATTTTTCGTGCTGTTTGTTTACATATACAATAGACTCCCATTACAGTCCCTGATCATCGAATTAGGACCACGTACAAAAATTTCACTTTTATGGCTACATTATGTCATATATGAAAAATTGTCTTAGGTCATGCAAAATTATTAATAAATACGTTGATAACGATATGTACATAGCAGTTTGTTGCTATCTTGATAATAAATTGTGTGGGTGGTAAACGATTAAAAGCCGTGCAAGCGTTTATGTTAGGCGGGAGTATCAATAGTGCGTCAGATGAAATTTGAATGCCATAGAAGATGTCTACACACTCAAAAGACTAGTTTACAACTCTCTAACCACATTATCTGAGTTGATAAGAATTACAGATATTTGGGAAAATAATGAAGATCTAAAGCATATGATGAATGTATACGGAGCATGATGGAAACTAGTTGTGACCAAAGCAAAGGGTGGAAATACAAGATATTAACGCGTGTTGATAATATCATGTATAGTAATAGTGTATCATGTTTGTTAAAGACTTATCGTAGATTATTTAGTTTATTTAGTTTTTAAGTGAAAATTGTATAAGTATGGGTTATGTGTGAGTGAATGTAAAATAATGGTTATTCGTTGTGCGAAATATTGCGAATTGCGAATATTATGTTGTAAAGCGAATGTAGCGTTAAGTTTATTTTGTATCGAAAAGCGAAGTAAGAGCGAGCGAGATAGCATTAATAAACTTCTTAGAAATGATGCCTAGCTGGCGATCTCCTTGCATGCACAGGGGTGCTTCGGCAAACCTGGGGCCGTTCAGGCCAACGGCTAGATGAAGTACTGTATGTGTCGCCCTGAGGCTGGTATGTCCCACAGTAGGAGATGTCGAAAATCTCCGGTAATAAGGGACAATGAACCGCCAAGCGGTTCTCCGGGACCTTTAGGCTGGTCTAGGAGGAAAGCCGCTATGGTAGATAAGGGTAGAATTCCAGGAAAGGCTCAAACGCGTCAGCGAACATTGCTCGAGCGAGGCCCGAATATTCATTATAAATTTGTCTGTTGAACAAGTAAGACCTATTTCGCTCGCGCTTACACGAAACATTGTATTTTGCGAATTGATTATAATTTACTGGTTTTGTTCGTCTATTACGGGTAATATTTTTACGTTCTACAAATCCTGTAACTGTCATCAATAATTTTCATCTAAGAATTTGTACAATTTGTATTTTAAATTATTTATATAAAATTATTAACCAATCCCGATTTTGCTTTCGTTTATTCAATGTTAGTTTATCAATTAACAATGTTAGTAGCTAATAAAGTATATCATTACAATGTGAACAGCCCTTTTAATTTTACGGAAAACGTGAAAAATGCTGAAAATTTGTAGCGTTCCTAATTCGATGGCCAGGATCGGTATATTGCCACGGTGGAACTATAAAATTCTTGAAAGTGACAGTATAATCAAAGCCGCCTCAATGTAGAACATAACTGTTGAAACCATGCCATCAGTAGTGTGACGAGCAAATTTTTCGATACGCCTACGTTCAAACAAGTTTACAATGACAACATGATTCTTATTTAAAGTGTTTACTGGCATCTGAAAATCGTGGGAGGATTTCGCTTTGTGCATTCATCAATAAGGAAAACAAGCACTTGCTTTGAAGATTTCAGAACACTAAAGCCATTCAGAAATGTTATTTAACTGTTTACGTTCTCGGTACAATTTATTGTTGCACTAAATTTGCAATGTATTGTAGATTATTCAATAAGCAAAACAAACATTTGTTTGGAAGCTTTCTCAACTTCAAAATTATTCAAAAATTGTATTTTATGGATTATTGCACTAATTTTCATTGCAACTACAGTGCTATCAAGTCCAGAATAAATTATGTTATTTGTGAACAATCTTGATTTTATAGCGAAGAAACATACTTTTGATAATTTTAAATATTACTAATTTAAGTTTAATTGAAAACTGAATAACTCCTGTTAAAAACATCTTTATTATATAAGTTTTGTTAAAATTATCATTTTGTTAGGTTATCGAAATTGCGTGAGAAATCGTGCATTAAAATGAACATCTATATAAAGCAAAGTTAAAACATTTCAGGTGCTTCGGGCCCCTAGAAAACGTAATTCGGCATTGGAGGTCTTAAATTTGAGAATTTGAAGGTTTATTAGTTCGAGAATTTAAAAGCATTTAAATCTAAAAATATTTTAATATTTATACTTCTGAAGTTCTGTATTTGATGTTTAAAGGTTTCTGAATTTCTAAATTTAAGTTTTGGATAACCGTCAAGTCTCAGAATTTGAGAATTTGAAAACTTATCAATGTGAAGATTCTTAAAACTTTGAATTTTGAAATTGGTAAATGTCTGTTTCTGTATTTCTGAAGTTCTGAAGTTCTGAAAATGAGAATTTCTGAATCTCTAATTTTGAACACTAGAAAAATTGTAACATTTCAACGCTTCCTTCCGAATGTAATGGTTTAATAATTTCTAAATTTCTAAATTTCAAAATATAGTAATCAAAAGATTCATTTTAGAACTTTATGTTTAAAATATGCTTAATATACTATATTTCTCAACAGGTAATATAACAAGAGTATACGGTATTTCATGAAAGTTCAATTGTATATTTTTATAAATAAATGTATTTTCTGAATTTCTGCTAATCAATTATGTATTAACATGATTTTTTATTTATCGTTACACTATTCATTAATTTCTCGATTATAATAAATATTTGTAATTAAACAAGAATTCTAAAACTATCAAGAACCTACCACAATGTATTATAGATATAAAGAATTCATAAAAAGCATGAGTTCAAACAGCTAAAAAATGAAACTATTTGCTAATAAAATTATAGTCGTAAATGTTATAGTAAGACAATCAAACTGTTAATTTTTGAATAAATTAATCATTGTCAGTTCTGTTCATTTTTATACTTACGTCACTGTATGTCCAAACGCGGTCCTCAAAAAAGAAGCAGGGTTTATTGGGGTAGAGGTCTACCCGTTTCTTGAAAGTCTGCGGAACAGTCACATTATTCCGACGACACCTTTTCACTTCCATTTCTGCAGTAACGGCACGATACAGAAATCTATAAAATAATAATTATACAAATTAGAAATCATTTTGACATGTTAGAATTTTTATAAATCGCGTACTTCCTATTTATTTAAGATGGCCGAAAAGTTGTATCGTTTTTCTCGGTAGATATTTATTCAATTTATTTGTCAACACATTCATCAGCAAATGCTGAGGATATTTAGATAGAAGAATGTTAGGATATCTTCTTAGGATATCTTCACTTATTAAAACCTTCAATCATAGAAGATGATTCGAGCAATATTTCATTTTGATAAAAGTAAGAACATTGTTTAAACTCGAAAAATGTAGTTAAGTTGCACTAAATAATTGCAAGAATCAGTATGGGTTTGCGAAATTTTGGGTTGATAATAATCATTTTTCTTATACATTGAAAAAGCAACTAGTATTATGTACAATGAAATTTTAGTTAGATATGTAAGTTTGTAATAATGACAAAACTTTTTGGCCAGCCTAATATTCCAAATTTTAAATAATAACTTCCTATGTATTTTATTTTTTTAATACGTTGACTGCCACCTTAAAATCATAGAAAATCAAGTTGTTAATTTTTTGTTCAATTAATACTTAACATTTCTAATTAACCACTGGATTGGTCTTTGTATATTTAACAAAAAGTATTTAAACGTAATTTTTAAAAAAAGCAGATATTTTGCAGTACTGTTTGCGCAGTCTAATTTACTATTAACAGAGTTTGTTTAAAAAAAAATGTTAAGACATTAAGAATAATATGTGTTCCAACCATAAATTTAAGGGCCATTTTATTTCCAATTAGCCCCAAATATGAATAATTCCAAAATACGTGTGTCATATTTTTTTTCGAAAATAACGTATTGTGTAAGTTCTATCAAATTTGCAATTATTTGATGATATATGACAAATAGAAAAAATAATTTCCCAATAACTTTCTATAATGGTATTCTATCGTATTAATACATATAATAGATTCATTCTAAAATGTGTACACAAAGAATTAAACAGGGTTTTATATCTAATATAATTTATACGTACTAATGTTTACATTATAATGAATTGTGGTGTAACAGCTGCAGAGTAAATATGTATTTTCACAATTTTATACAATGCACAACCATTTGGTTTTCATTAAATTTTTGTACCAAAATGAAATAATTCATGATCACATGAGCTCAACATAATCTTGAACTGAAAAATATATCGTTGAAATTTAACTGTAGAAACGATTACTATGTTCACTAAAACAAGAAAAAAAGTTGCAAATTATTTGCACGCTCACAAAATTTTCTTAGCTACGGTACTTTTACTACCGTCATCCTGAAATAATTATGGCGTGCAGATTTAGGTTAAACTTTACTTTGGGATACATAAAATTGTAGACTCTTTTTCTGCTGTTTAATAATATTTATTGTCTAGAATACAAAAATGCAATTTTTAATGTTAGGAATCCAACAGTTAAAAAATTATATGTTTGTAAAGTTGAGCATTTTTAATTTATTCGACATATGAGTGTGACGTCACATTGATTTCTATCTATAATTTTATTGAACTACTTTTATGAGCGTTAAAAACATTCTATGATGTCGTTTAAAAAAAAACTAACATTTGTACACAACTAGTGATTGGACAAAGATGTTTCACTATTTTAATGGCATTCTCTATTTAACCGACTAACGGAGCAAGGGTAACAACCAATATGGCGTCGCAGTAACCAACCAAATACGCCATAAGCGCTCAAATTGCGCATAACTTCTTAACCGTTGGATTCCTAACAGTAAATCTTGCATTTTTGTATTCTAGGCGTAAAAAACTATTACGAGTCAAGTCTGGTAATCGAAAACTCTAAACATTATTTTTTGGGGGATTTTTAAGATCTTTATCAGTCCTTGTTTATCTTACATTGTTTTGGTCAGGAGAAAAAGGACAGTAGATATTCAGTTTTCAAAAATATGGAAAATAAGACTTCGTACTTCACGGATTTTTAAGCTAATAAGCAATGTTTCGTCATTTTTTTTTTAGAAATATTATTTAGACTCTACTTAAGAGTCGAATAAAGCCGGATTATGCAATTTCGTTATAAAAACTTAAAAAATGTTTCTATATGCTTTCCTGCGTTATAAAGTTTTTACTCTATGAAGCACGAAGACGTGTGTTTTCATTCAAATTTTGTCTTTAAACTCAAGGGCGCTAAAGCGAAGCCATTTAACCCCTTGGCTACTGTGGGCGCCTATAGGCGCTTAGAAATTTTGTGTTTGTATTACTGAGAGCACCTATAGGCGCCCACTTTTATACCAACAGAGTTTTTTCCTAGCGATTAAAAAGTTTTTATAAAAAAGAGTTATGACGGCGTGTTATAACATTTGTCATTTGTATTATCCTTTGTACATAAAGGAAGGATAAAAAACTGTATAGAAAGGCTTTAGCTTTGCTTTTTATAAATAAGAATATCTGACTTTTTATTATAATAAATAAGACCATAATCACATTTCTCAGAAAAAATCACCGTAGCGAAAGGGTTAAAATTTGTTTTCAAACTCCAGGGCTCTGCTATAGAAACAATGCAAATAATTTTCGGTTCATAATATAAGGGCAAATGGATCTCGGGACATTTTTGCTGTTAATGCGCATATCAGTACATATGCGTGAATATGACTTTTCTGTTGAAAATACTTCGAGTTGCCGATAATATGAATGAATGAAAACTTCGAGTGCAAAATGTTAAAAACCAAACATCTATTGCCCTTATCTCTCCTGTTCAATTCGCCATTAAATAAATACAGACCGTCAGAAATCCTAAAAATCTCCAAACAATAATGCTCGGAATATTCGATCACCAGATTTAACCCTTAAATAATTTTGCTTTTTATTCTTATTATTAAAAGAAAAGTCAAAAATGTTATGTTGTCCGAAAGTAAAGCTTAGTCTAGATTTATTTTTTAATTCTGCAGATAACACGCTAAAAATTCTATGAGCCAACAACTAAGTTGTATTAAAGACCTTCATTAAATGAATGTTCGCCCGCACCCTTTATTGAAATTAAATTCAGAATCATTCAGAATAGGATCTATGTCAATCTTCAATGAGGTTATGATAAGTTTGATAAGTTTTGGAAGAGAAATACAGGAAAAAGGCCAAACTCCTTTTTTGTATTTTGTTTAAATTTTGAATACACCTATATTCTAATCGGTGGGATCGTTGTTACATTAATTAAATAATTTATGATATTATTTATATTAAATAATGTTGTTACGTTAATTTTTGAGAAATCATTATCTAAGGTACTGCTCATTATATCACACCGAATAATTTCGACCGCTATATTCTCTTTCTTTAAATTAATATAACTTCATCTACATTAATCAACATTTAAGCTGAAATTCAATAAAGTTTTAATGATATTTAGCCCGGTGAATAATGAGACTCCTGTTAATGCTGATAAAGTAACATTAAATTTCAAATTGCGTTTGTTTCAAACGACATCTTACGATTTAACATTATATAATCATTGCGCTAATCTTGGATGTGACTGTTTCCCACATTTCCATAATTAATTATAATTGTTCATGACGACTACTTTCCTTTGGTAGCGTAAATGATATTGCGAATCATCGAGATCGAACAGTTTGCATGTAAGTACGAACTCTAATATGCATATGAAATAAGATAATGACACAAGTTTATTAGGAGAGTAGTTCGTTTTCATACCGTATACTTAAAAAACTTTACTTTTTTTTTAAATACATAATTTAAGTTTAGCTCATTTTAATTATATATCATAAAGTAAACGTTTGACAGATATGTCAACAAATATGTCCTGAAATAAAAATAGTCGTCCTCATATAGACCATATACTCTGCTAATTGAATTAAAATTGTTATAGAATCTTTATTTCAGGTTTTACACAATTTTATTATAATAACGCAATTGTATTTAATATGTGTTTTATACAATATGTTTCTTTCATACTGCGTCTTGACTCGCATTGGCTCGAAAATGTGTGTCTTCCCGGTCCGTGATGTATAAACAAAAGAATAACGATTATGTTAATTCGCGACATATGATGAGATATCGCGATACTCCAACATATATGTTGAAAGGGGAGATTCAAAGTGCGCGCGCAAATTATACATACGTATACTCCTGTCGGGCCCTCATTCAACCAGCACGTTCGTTAACACTTCTGTTATCCTCCGTGTGCGAAGTTACGAGTTACACGTGCAACTCACTTAAATATTAATATGTTCAATATACATATATACATAGTTCTCTTAAGACTTCTTGTATCATTTATTTCTCGCCCACATTCCCAACTCAACAATGTATTTTCATTTAGATCATAATTGTTTTTGTCATTATTTTGCACTTTCCTTTTAACGTACTGTTACGGATGTGTTTCGATTATTATTCAATTTTGGTTATTCATCTCACAAGAAGAATAAACTAAATTTCTGTCTATCATATTTACATAAATCAGATGATGTATACATACATATATACATATATACAATTATAATTTACCATATATACAATATAAATAGTTACAGGTAAATACTGCTATTACACACAATGTTACATTGGTAACATAACTTTTAATTAGAAATTACATCCCGATTAAGTCACAATTATAATTCAAGATTAAACTTAATTTTTACTTTCATAAGATTCAATTAAATTTTTATTTCAAACTGAAAGAAGTTTCAATTAACGATTGTATGTTACTTGATTAAATTTTGAATTTAAGTGAGTATATTAAGAAAAAATTGTGACTAAACTAAATATAAACGTCGAATGTATACTATTTATAATTCTGTCTTAACCAATGTGTAACATCCCTGGAAGAGATTTTTTACTTTTCATCACCAACATGGCAGTTCTGTGCTCAATTCAATTACCCACCAATAGTTTAGTTACCGACAATAATAAACTGTTACCGACGGTACATTATATATCAGTTATCCTGTGTATTTAGCTTTGGCAGTTCGGTAATCACGATTTTATAATTAGAGTCAATTGATTTGCTACCCTGTCAACTTATACTGTTCACCCTTTTCCTGTATCGTTGGGTCGTTCTAGTAGCTAGCTAACGCAAGCTCCCCAATTAAGCGATCTGGTTTTGGCTGTCAGTGTTCGTTTTGACAAATAGGGTCATGGACAATTAGTTGTCGAGTCAGATTAAAAGAGTAACTGTTCCAAGTAATTAATTCATTTAGATTCAAATAAATTTTGAACTTGAATTAGTAAAAGAATATTGTTCTGTCATTAGCGTAATCTCAGTAGTCGACTACACCGCGTTAGATATCAGATAAAATCAAATCTGTCTAGCTGTGCGAAAGCGTATTTAGGTACACTTAGAGAATCACACTTAGGTCGTGTTCCTCGCTGCGGTAGACTATCACGCGCTAATATTATTAATAATTCCGTAAAGAATACTCATTATATAAACTACAAACGTATCAATCAAGATAAACTTTGCAATTGCGATAGTGTTCGAAACCAAGAATCAAATCTTATAGAAAACCGAATTCAGTTAATTATATAAAAGCGAAGTTAGCTTCATCCGAAATCAGACTTAGGTACGATATAATATAAAGAATTAACTAACGAGAATCAGATTTAGTTAGATTCACAATTACCTATTACGTATTGTTTAATTTGCCAAGTTCTATTATTTCTATTATTAATATTATATAAAAATCTATTTAGTTTCTTTTGATAAAACCAGTATACTTTTCATATTTTGTTGTTATTTGTTACTTGTTATTTGTTAAATTCATCATCTTCGTTATTTTATTGAATAAACCTTATTGTTGAAAGATATTGACCTGTGGATTTCACTCCTTAACCGCACACCACACGAATCCCACAATCTTTACATTTAGTTATTTTCCAAAACGAGTCGTTCAGTTGGTAAAAGCCGCTCTTTACCTTACTAGCGCTAGTAACTATCTGAATCTAGGTTCCAGAGTCGTTACAAATGTTTCATCAAGGTCTACCTTGCTAACGAAGTTTGAAAGTCATTTCTTGTTTTGAACACATTCCAAATGGTCTTTTGTAAAAATGTTAATTAAACAAGGGAAACAATTGAAACAAAAAGTTGTGAAACTCTTAGAGATAATATTTTGTTGCTTAGAAATAATATTTATTCAATGATAATGTGCGGAAACAAATTAGTATGCTCGGAATTGTTCGACTAAAGGAAATTTTAAAAACGACAGGAAATACGTCTATACAATTGCAGCCAAATTAAACACATTGTACAGAACAATGAATATTTGCTTCGATTACGATAATTACTGAATCAAAAGGTATTCTCACGCTAGGTTTTGTGATAATTAGAACAAGTGGTCTGAACATGAGCTATCACTTACGTTTTAGATTATACTTTCAAAACTTTTAATTATTCTTAAAGTATAAGTATAAAATCGAAGAGTAGCAAATATAACTTGAACGAGTTTGAAATAGAGTTTGAAACAAATGTTTATTACTATCCTATAATATTATACGTGTAGTTTTATTTGTGCCCATAATAATTTTTTAACCACTTCGAATTAAGTAGTCATTCAACTATTCAACAATTCAGAGGAAATGGTCCAAGGTGTGTTACCATTTTCATGTTAGGTTAAATTGCCAAACCTAATTGTTAAAACATAACCGTATATTTAAAATATAACATGTCAATATCTAAAACACGTTTTTTATATTATGAAATTAAAGTACGCTGTACAAAA